AGTTCTCCAAGTGGGGTCTAACCAGAGTTTTATACAGGAGCAGCATAACTTCTGTGTTCCTATACTTCAGTCCTCTAGATATAAAGGCCAACATTTTGTTAGCCTTCTTCATTATTTTCTGCAGCTGTTCATTAGAACCTGGGGATTTGTTAGCCCACAGCTCTAACAATTTACTTAGGACTGATTCCCCGTTGAGAGTAATTTTCTTGACACCCTCCTTTCCTTCCATTTCCCAGTTTCAAGCTCTTTCTAGGATGTTTCTTGAATCCTCTCAAGTGAAGACCAATGCAAAATACCTGCTCAATTCAGCTACCATCTCCTTATTTTCAATTACTAATTCCTCAGACTCACTTTCTACAGGACAACATTCACTTGATTAACACTATTTTAAAAAATATTTACAGAAACATTTGCCAACTGTTTTTATATTTCTAGCTTGCTTTCTCCCGCACTCTAATTTTTCCCTCCTTATAATTTTCTTCGTTATTTTTATATTCGGTCCAATTGTCTGACCTGCCGGCCACCTTTGCAAAATTATCTGCTATTTATTTTAACTTCCATCTTTAACTTTTTTGGTTAATCATGAGTCCTCCTCTCGAATTTTTTCTGATTGGAATGCTGTGAATTCTGTGTATTCTGAAATATTGCCAACAATGTCTGCAGTTCTATTTCTAATGACCCATCCTTTAATCTAATTTGTCAGTTCACTTTAACTGGCTCTGCTTTCCTACCCTCATAACTGCCCTTATTTAAGTTTAAATTAATAGTCTAGGACACACGCTTCTCTCTTGCAAACTGAATGTAAAATTCAATAAGACTATGGTTGCTGTGACCTGTTTATCCTATCTTCTCAATATAATATTAGGTTTAATGTAGCCTGCTGTCTGGTTAGCTCCAGAACATGCTGTAACATCATGGGATAACAAGGAGTAGAACTGGATGAACACAGCAGGCCAGGCAGCATCAGAGGAGCAGGAAAGCTGACGTTTCGGGTCTGGACCCTTCTTCAGAAAACATCATGTAGCTTCCACCAGTTCAAAGCATTTTCTCAAATAGGTGAATAGTTAGGTTGGTGGTATATCTAGTGTATATGGCAGTCACACCTTGAAAGATCGACACAACTTTTTATGTGAATGACCTATTCAATTTGAAAGGGCCCTTTTCAATGGCTTTTTAAGAGTCAACATCAGTCTGGATGTTTCCTCTTATTCTCCCTGGAGACAGGAAAGTGTTTAAGTGCTCAAAAAAAGCCAAGTGATCCTTGGCTGGACTTCTTATGATTCTTTTGAAAATACATTAAAAAGTTCAAGGTTCAGAATATATTGGGTCAAGATACATGTAAGTTTTGTGGAGCACTAGGTAGTGCCTTACCTCCAAACAAGGAGCTCCAGATTCAGCTCCTACCCCAGGACTTAGCAGCCAAGGGAGGTGTGTTCATTACATGTCGAACAGGATTATGATCAACCTGAAAACCTTTCCAACACACACCAGCAGCAGTCGTAAAAATGAGAGAGATTTCTCGGCCGGTCATGTGGTGGAAACGAAGTTACAGCTTCCACTGTCACCATCTATAGTTCCAAGCTACAATGTGCATGTTGTCATAGCAACCTGGACTTCCTGAATAAGCAATAAGACATCACCGTTATAGGCTCATATTTGAAGAATGGTCTCTGCAACTTCCCTTCCATGACAAGTCAAATGGAGTGCATTCTTTAAGTCTTGCACTCTACCTACTCCTCCTCTTTATCCATTCTTCCTTTTACCATTGTAAATTCCCATTTTACTTTGCTAGGATATAGTATCTCAGTGGGTAGTGCCCCAGCTTCAAAACTCAAAGTGCTGAGTCCTACTCGGAGCCTTTTTGGTGATGCAAGGAGCATTCATTGCATGGCTTAACAGACTGATAATCACCCGTTAACAATTCCCTCATTATTGCCCCTGAAGGGGTAAGAATTGTATGTGTGAAGATCTGAAACAAGCTACAATTTCACTTTAACACAGTGTGGAGCTGGAAGAACACAGCAGGCCAGGCAGCATTACAGGAGCAGGAAAGTTGACGTTTAGGGTCAGGACCCTTCCTCAGAAAGGACTTCAAAATTCTGAAGAAGGGTCCCGACCCGAAACGTCAGCTTTCCTGCTCCTCTGATGCTGCCTGGCCTGCTGTGCTCATCCAGCTCCACACTGTTTTATCTCAGACTCCAGCATCAGCAGTTCTTGCTATTTCTGAACAATTTAGCTTTGCTATGTCAACAGTCACAGTGTAGTTGCAGGCTCTGGTCACTTGATGGCCTCGTGGAGCAAGTTGCCAAAGTTTCTCGAAACTCTTGTTGGTCATATTTTGAGACCATCACTGAAGCCAGCTTCCCATCCACGGACTCCATTTACACTTCTCATTACCGCGGAGAGCCTGCCAACATATCGGGAGGCGATAGCCTAGTGGTATTATCACTGGTCTGTTAATCCAGAGACCCCCAGATAATGTCCTGGAGACCCGGGTTCAGATCCTGCCACGTCAGATGGTGGAATTTGAATTCAATAAATATCTGGAATTAAGAATCTAATGATGACTGTGAATCCATTGTTGGGAAAAACCGATCTGGTTCACTAATGCCCTTTAGGGAAGGAAATTGCCATCCTTACCGGGTCTGGCCGAGCTGTGACTCCAAACCCAAAGCAATGGTTGACTCCTAAGTGCCCTCTGGGCAATAAATACTGCCAAGCCAGCGATGCCCTCATCCCGTGAATGAATAAACATCATCAAAGACTCCTCCCACACCGGTAATACTCTCTTCCAACCTCTTCTGTCAGGCAGAAGATCAGAAGCTTGAACAGAGTCAGCAACAGGTTCAAGAACAGCTTCTTCCCTGCCATTATTAGACTGTTGAATGGACTCTCTAACTACAAATAATGTTGATCTTGTTTGTACACCTCCTGTGTAGCTATAACCTTGTATGCCTCGCTCTGTCTAAGCACCCAATGATTGGTGTATCCTTGTTTGTTATGATCTGTCTGTACTGCTCACAAAACAAAGCTTTTCACTGTACTTAGGTACAATAAATAAAATCAAATCAAGAGTTAAAAATCGACCATGAATAACATCATAGACAAATTAGACAGCGCAAATATGTCATTTTCTATTTTAATTAGTGGCAGTATTTCTAAAATGGGTTGTAGGCTTTGTGACTGCTCTGTGTGAAATTATTGATGGTATCCTTCTCAACATGACATACACAAAATTCTGTCCAAAGTACTATTTTCGCTAAACAAATGATGACTCTACCTAGGGCTATATTTCAACTGGAGGACTTTGACCATACAGGTTGGATGTTCACCTCTTAGTATGTTCATCACACTGCACCCTACCAGCCCAGCCTTTTCTGATACTTTAAAGATTCACCCCTGGGATTCCCTGCCCCAGACCTGAAAGCCCTAGATTCATGTCTCACCTGTTCCAAAGGTGTGTAGTAATATCTCTTGACACGTTGCTTAGAAAAATAGGTACAGACTCACCCCTCGAGCTGCTAGCTCTCTCTGGGTCATCTCCCAGTGATCAGCTTGCTGCAGAAAATACATCATCTCTTCATAGACTGCTTCAAACCTTTTCGGATTCTAGAAAAGTCAGGAGAAACATTTCAGTCAGTCCGCACCATTTTAAATTTGTACAATATTTTCCCTTTTTTTTGTGGAGGCTACAATTTTCCTGACCCCCTGAAAATTTATAAATGTAGGCCAGGAAACCCTGAAGTTTGAAGTGGAAACTGAGTGACCTTTCTCTGAGGGTTCAGTATCTGTAAAATTTGTTGCTGAAGGAAAAAGTGTTGAGTTTTTATTTCTGATATTTATAACAACTAGCTCTTGTATAGTGTACAGTTAGTTCTATTTTCCTTTTGTGTATATAAACTTTGATATTCTTTTCTTAAAAATGCATTTGCAGCCTTTTGTGAATATGTTCAGTGACTGACCACCACGTTAAACAAAATTATGAAAATAACCCTGATGATCCATTAGGTTTCACTCTGGGTTCGGGCTTTTTTAGTTCACTTGTGGGATGTGGTATCACTGTCTGGGCACTTATTGCCCACCCATAGTTGCCCCTTGAGAAAGTGGTGGTGAGCTGCCATCTTGAACCGCTGCAGTCCACGTGCTGTGGGTTGACCCACAATGCCCTTAGGGAGGGAGTTCAAGGATTTTGACCCAGTGACACCGAAGGAACAGTGATATATTTCCAAATGGTGATGGTGAGTGGCTTGGAGGGGAATTTGCAAGTGGTGGTGTTCCCAAGTTTCTGCTGCCCCTTATCCTTCTAGATGGTCGTGTATTTGGAAGGTGCAGTCTAAGGATCGTTGGTGAATTTCTGCAGGGTGTTTTGTAGAGCAACGTCGCTGAGCATAATCACTGACCATTAATGTCGGAGGAAGTGGATGTTTATAATCTAGAGTCCAGCATTATCATCAGTTGGGATCATAACAATTGTGAGAAAGCTGATAAGGGAACTGTGAAGACCTGGAGCATGGAAAATGGGAGCGACAATAAAGGGATTGTGAATATTTAATTCAGTGTGTGGATAATGCAATAGAGAGGATCATGGATCTTGTCATTGTGGATGCCGGGAGCACAGATAACGGAGGTACGGATGATGATGATTTGAATAATAGAATTGCAATGATGGATTTGCATAGATAGAAGGATTGCTGTTGACGGAAAGGTGTGAAAATTAGGAGCTTGTATACTGCGTTCCAGAAGATGGGAAAGAAAGGATAATGGTAAAATATGCAAAACGTGAATGTAAATAATTGTACTTCAAATAATTATTCTGAATTATAATTATACCACATACCAAAATCTCTCGAGAAAACCATTCTCTCATTAATGCATTTGTCATCATTTTGTAACCAGGACTGATTACTGTTGTTTTTAATAAGACAAATGACAAAGATGATGAAGAAACAAAATAAAAAGTTATGGGGAAAAGGCAGGAAAATGGAGTTAAAGATGATCAGATCAGCCATGATCTTGTCGAATGGCGGAGCAGACTCTGTGGGCTGAATGGCCTACCACTGTTCCTATGTCTTATTGTCTTATGGCCTTGCTAGCAAAAGCTACATAGCTCAGAGCTCCCATACCTTATGTGCTTTTGTCATAATCGCTGACAGAACCTTCCTTCCCACTTCAGCGAAAAACTTTCGATTTGTTACATCAGAAAGAATTACCTGCAAAGGTGGAGAAATTAGTGTGAAATTATGTTTTAAGCTTAGCTACGGTGTTGTTGAAACACTGATACTTTAGGCTTCTGTTCTGTTTGAGTTCAGCTCAGCCTCAGCACTGCATCCTCGAAATCATTCCAGGATTCGAATTCACTTGAATCTGCTTCCATCACCAATTCAGATAGTCTACTCCAGACTGCAACATTCACTGCAACAATCCTCTCAGCCTAAGCGCATTGAGGAAGTGATGTACTGTCAGAGATATTTGAGATGGGATATTAAATATTTATTCCACGGCAAAAATTGAAGGAGAGCCCTTCCTCCTTCAACAAACAGATATGCTCACATCCTAAAATTAACCCATATCCTTTGATGGGATGTTGAAGTGTAGAAATTGGTTGCAGTATCTGCTAATATAATAACAATCAGTCTACTTCCAAGTAACCCAATGAAGTGAATTGCTTGACATGTGTCAGTCTTGACCTGGTGACACTAATTTTGCCTCTGAATTGACTGATATACCTTGGCAGTCTGTCTGTAGGATCTACCTGCCAATCTCTCCATAGTGCCCACAATTAGTAAAATGCCCAGCAGGAAGAAGCCTAAATTGCCCGAATAAAGGTCTCATTTGGTCTAAGGATGGGCAGGCTATGTGCCACTTTCACCAAAACTAGTAAAATGCCAGTGATGGCAGGAAGGCAATCCATCCTCTGCCACCCCACTCGATTTTACTCCGACCACACCACAACCCCACCCACCTCCTGGTACCTTCCCTGGAAACTCTCAAAATCCCAGTGAGAAAAACCTACAGCACAAAGTCCAGAAGGCAATCATGAAGAAAATTCTCTTCCAGTCCCTTTTAAGCCCAGGTCGTTTAGTTACCAACCCTACTGCCAGTCAAAGAATTTCCCACCAGTCACTTTTTCAAAATCTTTCAGAATTTTGAACATTTCTGTTCTCTACTTCTCTACCCTGAGCGGAACAGTCCCAAGTTCTTTTGTCCCTCTATGTAATTGCAGTCACTCATCATTCGACACTGGAACCTCACCTACAGCCTCTTCAAGGTCTTGGCTATCACCCCAAAGTACACAGTCCAGAATTGGCTATAACACTCCAACTGAGGTCTAACCAATAATTTATAATCCATGATTCAGACATACTCACGCTCATGTGTGAATTGACAGGTGAGTTCTGATGGTATTACCTGAAAAGCTTGACGCACACAGTGTACCTTGGCCAGAAAATCAATGTCCCCAACACATTCCAGCAACTCGGTCCTTTTAGACAAAACATAAGTTGAAAACAAACATTAAGACTCATATGTTGCGTCAAAAATCTTCAAGAACAGATCTGGATTGTATAACCATTTTCAATTTGAGGCAACCCATTATCTACTGGACATTTATGCTGCAGAAATTCATGAAGGCCCCTTAGACTGGACTTTCCAACCCATGACCACTACTATCTAGAAGGACAAGGACAGCAGATACAAGGCAACACCACCACCTGCAAGTTGGTCTCCAAGCCAAACCTCATCCTGACTTGGAAATATATTGCCATTCCTTCACCATCACTGAGTCAAAATCCTGGAACTCCGCCCCTGACAACATTGCAGGTCAACAAATGAACATATGAAAAAGTACAGCACAGGAACAGGCCCTTCAGCCCTCCAAGCCTGTGCTGACCATCATGCCCTAATTAATCTAAAAACAAACCTGCCATTTTTCAATCCGTATCCCTCTATCCCCTCCCTATTCATGGACCCATCTAAATGCCTCTTAAATGACTTCAATGTGCCTGCTTCCAGTACCTCTTCTGATAATGCATTCCAGGCTGCTACCACTCTAATATTGAAAACTTCCCTTGCACATCTCCCTTAAACTTTCCCCCTCTGACCGTAAACCCATGCCCCCTTGTAAATGAAACTTCAACCGTAGGAAAAAGCCTCTGACTATCCACCCAATCTATGCCTCTCATAATTTTGTCGACCTCTATCAGGTCTCCTCTCAGCCGCCATTTTTCAGTGAAAACAATCCTAGTCTTTTTAACCTTTCCTCATAGTCAATGCCCTGGAGACCAGGCAACATCCTGGTGAACCTTCTCTATATTCTCTCCAAAGCTTCCACATCCTTCTGGTAATGTGGTGACCAAAACTGCACACAATACTCCACAAACAGCCTAACAAGGGTTTTATATCGCTGCAACTCTTGTACTCCACGCCCCGGGCAATGAAGGCAAGCATGCCATATGCCTTCTTAATCACCTTGGCTACCTGTGTTGCCACTTTCAACGTACAGCATAAGGACCATACCAGTTCAAGAAGAAACTCACCATCAGCATCTAAAGGCCAATAAACACTGCTTTCCCATTACCCCCAGTGCTGACTCATGCTTTACCTGCACAAAGTTTTATTCCACTTAAACAATTAATTCTCTCTCTTCTCTCAAGTTGGCTTTTGCAGCCCGTAGGGAAAGGGACAGAAATCATGGGCCAGTGATGTTCATGGCCTGGGTCTCCATCTGAACTTGACTGTGCATGTGAAGTCATTGTAAGTCTTGTGGTACTGCATCCAGGTCACAGGGTAGACTGCTGGCTATCTGCTCACATTGCCTTGCAAGTACATGGCTGGAGAGCCTCCTAGTCCCCTTTCGATACTGGAAATCACCCCTTTTTACCACATCCAGTAGCAAAGCTGCAGTCTTATTCTTCACGGGGTCCCAGGTCATATTCACTTCCTACACTACCACCAGCCCCTGCTTCAGCCCTAACAAATGTCCCCTTTAGGAGGTGCAGGCTTTCTTGATGTGCTGCTGGATAGTATGAGTTTGGAACCTCCTCTTCCACCAGCCCTCCTTGTTCATCTTACAGCCATAGAGCAAGCAGTTGTGCTGCTTGCATTTCAGTCAATAGGCATGGGTTAAACAAGCAGTTCATGACACATGGATCTGTCGTCAGGGCTTAACCAATTTAGCACCCATTATAGACTTCGTAACATTGCGGAAAGAGGTCATTCAGTCCATCAAGTTTGCACCAACCCTCTGGGGAGCATCCCACCCAAACCCAGCCTCCATCCTATCCCCATAACCCTGCATTTCCCATGTCTAATCCACCTATCCCGCACATCGCTGGACACTTTGGATACTTTCCCATGGCCAACCCACCTGCAAATCTTTGGACTGGGGGAGGAAACCGGAGCACCTGGAGGAAACCCACGCAGACACTTGGGAGAGCATGCAAACTCCACACAGTCACCCGAGGACGGAATCAAACCTGGGTCCCTCACGCCATGAGGCAGCAGTGCTAGCCACTGAGCCACCGCACCACCCATTATCTCTAAAGATTTACCCAGTCGATTGCAGTGGTAGAGATCGGCTCACCTTAACACCCGGCAAAATACTCTTCCGTCTTCTGCCAAGTGCATTGCTTCTTCATAGAGCGGCAGATGGCACCACGACCCCAGACCATAGGTGCTGCCTCGGTTGTCTCGATGCTCTGTGAGCTGTTGGGATTATACAGATAAAAATAGAAACTCCATCAGATTCAGTACGGTTTGTCATGGAACAACCATTCTATTTCCCAAGAACAAGCCAACATTCAAAATTAAGAGAAGTTGAGCTTAATGTCAGCCCATGTTCAGCTGGAAACTCTGGTTCAATAGACTCCTGGGCTCACAAGCCCACTCCTGATTTTGTGAGCATGAAAATCTACGCTGTCACTTCAGCGCAATGCTGCTCAGTCAGACAAGATATTAAAGCGTGGCCACTTTTCACTCAAGAGATGCAAAAGACCCCATTTGAAAATGATAGAAGAGGTTTGGTCAATATCTTCTCCCTCAACCAACGTCAAAAAAAGCATAAAATACAAAAACAATGTACTGCGGATGCTGGAGATCTGAAATAAAAACAGAAAATGCTGGAGAAACTCGGCAGATCTGGCAGCATCCGTGGACACAGGAACAGAAATAATGCTTAAAGGTGTCCTTGTGGCTCAGTGGTTAGCGCTGCTGCCTCACAGCACCAGGGACCTGGGTTCGATTCCAGCCTTCGCTAACTGTGTGGAGTTTGCACATTCGCCTCATACCTATGTAGGTTTCCTCCAGGTGCTCTGGTTTCCTCCCACAGTTACAAAGATATGCAGATTAGGTGGATTGGCCAAGTTAAATTGAACTGTGGTGTCCATGGATGTGCAGGCTAGCCATTGGAAATATGGGGTTAGTGTGGTAGGGGTTGGGTCTGGGTGGGATGCTCTCTGTAAAACTCAAATGGCCTCTTTCTGCACTCTAAGGATTCTATTCTGTGAATCTCTAAACCTAACATGCTCATTATTACATTGTGGTTTGTGGGAGCTTGCTGTGCTAGCTCCTGTGTTCTATACATTACAACAACAACTTGACTCTATTGACTGTAAAGTGCTTTGGGATATAGTGAGATGAAGAAAGTCCATAATTACAAGTCTTTCTTTCAGCCAAATGCAGTATCCATCAACTCTGTGACAAAAAGAAACAAATGCCTTGGGGAATTCATGGCACACTGAAACATGTGAGTCCAGAATGTTCCATTGCTAACCCTTGTGGATTCATCCAGAGCTCCACACACTGTTGTGGTCGGTGTTGGTGGGGGGGGGGGTGTAAAATCATATTTTACCTTTAACAATGTCATTCAATTCATACCACTCACCTGTTCTTTGCCCATAGCTCTGCAATATTTCCTTTGCGAGTACTTTTTCTAATCCCTTTGTGAAAAGCACTATTAAATTCACTTTCAAGTAATACATTCCAGACCATAACAATAGTGGAAACTTAGTTTTTAATGCATTATCGGGATAGATTGTCTTGGTTTTTTTAAAATGATTTATTTCTGCAGTAACAGGAAAAGTTTGAAAGCTCTGTCAGTGTCACTGATTAATTAGGAGTAACAACCAGCTGGTTTATTTAAACTTCAATTTATGATTACGCAACGTTCACCTCTCAGCTTTTCAACAGTTTTACTCCATATGAATCTTATTGCAAGAAGCAGTTCCGGCTGAGGGTAATTTATTTTTCTTTATTGAGTATAAATCAGGGGAGCTTTCAGCTATTCTTTTGAAAGAGCTGCGAGTGTTTTTATTGAGTTCAAAGTCAAAGCACCATTTTCTCTCTCTCTGCTACCAGTCAGACACCAGGAACAACAGAGGATAGAGTTAAGTGTGACAGCTGGAATGTACAGGGTTGCATGTCTGACCTCTTGCCCGCTTATCAACGAATGCCAGATTCGCTCTTTTAACTAGGGCGTGATTTTAATTGCTCCATCACTGGTGGCCAGGCCTTCAGCTTCCTAGGCCCTAGGCTCTGGAACCACCCCTCTTCTCCACCTCTCTCTGATTTTGTTATGGTTTAAAACATGGTAATATGTTTGCACTTTTACCAAAGAATTGGTCTGTTGGCCTTTAATGCAAGGGGATTTCAGCACAGGGATAAAGGAAAGATAGAACATAGAGTAGCACAGGAATAGGCCCTTCGGCCCACCATGTCTGTGCTGACTATGATGCTATTTTAAACTAACCTCATCTGCCTGCACATGGTCCATTTCCCTCTATTCTCTGCCTGTTCATGTCTAAATGCCTCTTAAATTTTGCTAACATATCTGCTTCTGCTACCTCCCCTGGCAACACGTTCCAGGCATCTACCACGCCCTGCATAAAAAAACTCGTGTCACACATCTCCTTTAAACTCTCCCCCTCTCAACTTAAACCTATGCCCCTGAGTATTTGACACTTCCACCCTGGGAAAGACACTCCGACTATCGACCTTATCCCTGCTTCACATCATTTTATATACTTCTCTCAGGTTGCCCCTCAGCCTCCGATGGGCTAGTGAAAACAATCCATGTTTGTCCAACCTCTACTTACAGCTAATACAGTCTGATCCAGGCAACATTCTGGAAAACCTCTATTGCACCCTCTCCAAAGCTTTCCTACAGTGTGATGACCAGAATGGCACACAATTTTCCAAAAGTGGCCTAACTAAAAGTTTAGATAACTGCAACGTGGCTTGTGAATTGTTATACTCAATGCTGTAACCGATGACAAGTATGCCATATACCTTCTTTACCACCTTAACCACTGTGCTGCTACCTTCAGAGAGCTAGGGGCTCTGTATATCAATGCTCCTAAGGGTCCTGCCATTTACTATATACTTTCCTCGTGCATTTGAACTTCCAAATTGCATCACCTCATACCTGACCAGATTAAACTCCATCTGCCATTTCTCCATCCAACTTTCCAACTGAGGTATGTCTTGCTCTATCCATTAACAACCTTCCTCACTCTCCACAATTCCACCAATTTGCGTGTCAACTGCAAACTTACTAATCGAACCACAGACATTTTCATTCAAATCATTAAAAAATTACAAACAATAAAGGTTCCAGCACTGATTCCTTGTGGAACTCCACTGGTCACAGACCTCCAGTCAGAAGAACACTCCTCCACAACTACCCACCGTCTTCTATGGCCAAGCCAACTTTGCACCCAGCTTACCAACTCACCACGATTTCCATGCAATTTGATCTTCTGGACCACCCTACCATGAAGGATCTTATCAAATGCTTTAGTAAAGTCCATGTAGTCAACATCCACAGCCTTACCCTCATCAATCATCTTTGTCACTGCCTCAATAAACTCAATCAGCTTTGTGTGACAAGACCTTCCCAGCATAAAACCAGGCTGACTATCCCTAATAAATCCATTCTTCTCCAAATGCAAATAAATCCTCAGAATTTTCTCCAATAATTTCCCTACCACTAATGTAATGCTCACCGGCCTATATCTTCCTGGATTCCTGTCTTAAAGAAAGGAACAACATTAGCTATTCTCCAGTCTTCTGGGACTTCGCCTGTGGCTAAAGAGGAGAGAAAGATCTCTGTCAAGGCTCCAGCCATCTACTCCCATGCCTCCCTCAGTATCCTGGGATAGATCCCATCAGGACCTGGGGACTTGTCTGCCCTTTCCCTAGTTACCCTTTTGCTCCTAATATATTTCATGGCCTTTTCTAGTTTTTTTTCTGCTTCCTTTATATTCCTCAAAGGTCCTTGTTTCATTTCTGTTTCCTAAACCTTACATTAGCTTTCTTTATCTTTTTAACAGAACTTACAACATCTCTTGTCATCCAAGGTTCCAGATTCTTGCCATCCTTATCTTTCGTCCTTAGAGAAATAGGCTGGTACTGAACTCGGGTCAACTGGCTTCTGAAAACTCCCACATGTCAGATGTGGATTTATTTTCAACAATGTTCCTAGTCCATTTTTTCCAGTTACTGCCTAATATTGTTGTAATTCGCCTTCCCAAATTTAACGGTTTCATCCGAGCAACAGCCTTATCCTTTCCATAACTATCTTAATACTTAAAGAATTATGATCAATGTTCCAAAACTGCTCGCCCACTGAAACTTCAATCATCTGGTCAGGCTTATTCCCCAATACACCTTCCTTTCCCTTGTTGGACTATCGACATACTGTTCCAAGAAACCCTCTTGGATGCACCTAACAAATTATGCCCCAGGAAAAGCACTAAGGGAGGCCCAGTCAATATTGGGGAAATTAAAATCACCCACTACAACTGTTGCTTTTACGTCTTTCCATGATCTGCTTGGATGTGAGTTCCTCTACATCTGCTGGTTACTGAGAGGCATATAGTATAACCCCAGCATATCTAGTGATTGCACCTTTATTATTCCTAAATTCTAGCAATATTACCTCATTGGATGAGCCCTCTAAGATGTCCTCTCCTGGTACAGCTGTAACATTCTCCTTCATCATAGGTGCAATGTTTCCATCCCTTTTACACCCATCTACATCTAAACCCTGGAACATTGAGCCAGTCCTGTTCTTCCTTCAACCAAGTTTCTAAATGGCTACAACATCGTAGTGCCATCTTCTAATCCAGGCTCTAAGATCACCTGCTTTACCTGTCACTTTTCTCCTTGCATTAAAATAAGTACCTTCAGACCGCTAGTTCTGCTGTATTCGTTGGCCTGGCCCTGCCTGTTCTTCCTTATCCACTTATTTGATTTAGCCCCTCTCCTCATTAAATATTCCACACACTGACCTACTGCTCTGGTTCCCACCCCCTTGCCACACTAGATGAAACCATCCCCAAGTGGCACCAGCAAACCTCTCTCCTGGGATATTGGTGCCCCACTGGTTTGGGTGCAACCCATCCTTCTTGTACAGGTCCCTCCTGCCTTGGAAGAGATCCCAAAGAACAGGTATCTGAAACCCTCCCTCCCTACACAAGTTCTTTAGCCACGCATTTAACTGTATAATCTCCTACTTCTGGCCTCACTGGCATATGGCACAGGGAGTAATCTCGAGATTACAATCCTAAAGATCCTGATTTTCAATTTTCTGCCTAACTCCCTGAATTCCTTTTGCAGAACTTCATCTCTCTTTCTGCCTATGTCATTTGTACCAATATGGACCACATCCTCTGGCTGCTCACCCTCCTCCTTCAGAAAACCCTGTG